CAAAACAATTTTTTACATAAGTCGATTATTTACAGTTTTGCATACCTTCATTTTTTTACCTTTTCGCAAAAAGGCGCAATTACAAATTTGCTAATATTTGTTATTTATTAACTCAATACAGTTTTATCTTTTAGATTTAGTCAAAAAATATTTTTTTTTGTGCACGGATACTGATTTTGGTGTGTTTTAACAATTGAATTGTGTATTTTTATCGGTTTAATATTAATTTGAGAAACATTTGCGCAATTATCGCAGGGCCTACAAATTTAGTATCACCATCTTTTTATTCTACCGGGCCTGCGCTTTCAGAAAATATATGGTTTGGGGGGTCTTTTACAAACGCTAGCAACGCAGCAGTTGAAAATCAAATCAATAGGAAAAAATTGCAGAAAATGCAAAAATGGCTTGGCCAGCTGATTTGAAAAATGTTCTGGAGGGCTTGGCAGCGAAAGGGTTAAAGAATTGCTCGAAAAGAAGAAATGCATGTATTGATTGGCCTAGTTAAAGCCTTGAGTTGAATCTCTTGAAATGTTGTGATGCTGTTGCGCAGAATACCAATTGTGGAGAATCACACCATTTGCTTGATTGGAATATGAAACCACTTTTAATATGATGCAGAATTCCTAGACTAGTTCCTAGTCAAGCTAGCCAGGCCCTAAAGCAGCCCCCCAAACTGACATTTCTACCACCAAGCTTTACAGTTGGTATAAGGTCTTCTGAAATACTGTCTTCAGTTTGCACGAAACTCATCTATGGCCACTGTAGTTAAACAACTCTATCTCTATCTTTGGTTAATTGGTCAACAAGAACACCATGTCCGTTTTTATATATCAATTCAATTATATCACATTTTAGATCTAGTCTATACCTGGTGACGAGGGAGCATGGAGCCGGCTTCCCAGCCAATCAGGAAGCCGGGCACCGTGTAATGTCTCGTTGGTCGAAGCTGGCCAAACAGGAAGCCGGGCAATGAGTCATTACACAGCGCCCGGCTTCCTGATTGGCCAGAAAGCCGGCGCTATGCTTCCTTGTCACTTGGTGATGAGGGAGCATGGCGACACCTTCCATGCTATTCAGGAAGCCGGGTGGCGAGACTTTACATGCCACCTGGCTTCCTTAATGGGACTTCCGGTATCGGTATTTGGTATCGGCGAGTACCGGGAAAAAAATATCGATACTGAAAAACCGGTATCGGTACATCCCTAGTCATAACTGTATCATGGTATTACACAATAGGCTTTTATATGTTTTTGAACATGCATACCTATAGTGTTTATGTAGCAACAAACACTTGGCTCCTCAGAAATTGCTTTACTAACATGCACAAAGTCAAATACTAGTTTGCTTACTATAGAAAAATGGACATCATTGTTTTTTGTCCCATAATATTAAAACGGTACATTCATTTGAAAGTATACATTGTGGAACATAATTTTTTTGTTTACCCCCACAGGTTACTTTCACCAAGAGGAAATTTGGGTTAATGAAGAAAGCATATGAGTTAAGCGTGCTCTGTGACTGTGAAATTGCACTGATTATTTTCAATGGCTCTAACAAACTGTTTCAGTATGCAAGCACCGACATGGACAAAGTCCTTCTTAAGTATACAGAGTACAATGAACCACACGAGAGCAGAACCAACTCTGACATTGTAGAGGTAACTGTCCTTTTATTCTACAGACATAAAGAAGTGTTACAGGCAGAGGTCTGGGAGATGATTGAGGATAGTTGTGGTTGATACATGGACTATTCTAAACTTTTTTCTAGAGTGCACTACTCATATTCCATAGTGCAGAGTAAACCATTGTAGCTGTTTTGCAGTTCTTCAGAAAATCCAAGATCCCGTCTAATTAGATAAAGTCTAAATGTGTCAATAAAGATCCAAGAATGATATTTTGTTTAAAATGGATTTGGCTGGGAGGGAGAGGATTTAAAATTCTGCTAGTAACCATCTAATAGAACAGAAATTGGAACGATCATGGATTAAACAAAAGGGCTTTTTTCCCCCTTCTGTCACATTATTCACACTGGTTTATCAGCGTTTGATTTACATACAAGGTTGAGTTTATCTCTTCAAAAAAGCAGGACCATCCAAACTTTTTTCAGTCATATCAAATGATGTTCATAGATTTCTTACGTAGCAGTCATTCATTGATCATAACCTTGCAGACATTCGGCTGATTGATTCTAAAGCCCTGTTTCTGGTAATGTCCATCTCATTATTTTTTAAGTATATATTAATTGCTGCTTTGAGTGATTTGATATAGCGTTGGCAAATAAGGAAATCTATATATTTTTTTTTTTCTATTTTTAACTTGATGAGGTACTTGAATAGAGGCTGTGATCTGTCAGAACTCTTAAATCATCTACTATATTAATGGTTCTGGACGATTAGACAAATTGTTTTCCTTGTGCACATTTTAAGGGGAACCTGTGCATATAGTAGGCTATTAAAGCTGAACACAGGAGATATATGAAGAATCTTGCAGCCACACTATATGATGCCTGCTTTTATCCACTTTAGCGCTCTAAGGGTACCCAAGCCCAAAGTGCTCAATATAAAGTGTATGGTTTCTGCTCAAAGCCTGGCGCTCAACAGGCCAAGTTTCTCTTTTAACTTGTCTGATGTTATTGTATGAAAAAAAAAAAGTATTAAACAAAAAAAATTAAAACTTAGTTGCCCATACCAAATTCAGCAGCATTGCTGATTCAACCCTGCCCATGTTTATGAAAATGTTTCAGTTTTAAAATATACATTTTACACTTAACTTTTTTTTTAATCAAATGTTTAAAAAAAATTCAGTTTACTTATTGTTTACACTGTTGCACTGTAACCTCTGCAGTCTGTAAGGCACTGTAACAACTGGCGGGTTTGTTTGCTAACAAATATCATGTGATCACCATGATTGGCTTCCACCATGGTGGTTGGTTTCCAATCATTGGTGGGGACCAGCGGCTGTCAGTGAAAGCACAGGTGTGTGCCCCAAGGTCTACCTATACTGCCTGTCCCCCCAAAAAAGTCACCACCTGGATTTAGCTAAGCAAATAGGTCAGAGCCTTCCTCTGGATCTAGGTTCAGCAGTGTTATGTCCCCAAAAAATGAGGTCAGCTGCCTACCTGAATATACTGAATGACCAGGTTTTTCCATCAATGGATTTTTTCTTCCCTGATGGCATATTCCAAGATTACAATACCAGGATTCATCGGGCTCAGATTGTGAAAAAGAGTGGTTTAGGGAGCATGAGACATCATTTTCACACAGGGATTGGCCAACAGAGAGTCCATACCTTAACCCCATTGAGACTCTTTAGGATGTGCTGGGGAAGAGTTTACACAGTGATCTGACATTCCCATCATCACTACAAGTCAGGAATGGGTTAAATAACTATTACCGGTATTGGAGTGCAAAAATTTACACTTGCATTCTTTCACATTATGTTCTCACAGGTGGCAGTTTTCTAGTTGATGAGGGAGTTTTCACTGACTATATTTTCCTATAGTGTTAGTTGGTTGCACCTATCGGTGGCAAGTATGATGTTGCACTTGAGCCAAAATCTTTGATTCAGTACTCCGTTAAAATGTCTTGGTGCTGGCTGTGTTGGTATTGAGAATGTGTTTCCACCAGTGGAAAGTATAGGGCTTTTTTTTAAATCTTTTATGTATTTGAATTTGGATGTTGGTGAATGCTCCCATGATTCTTGGCAAGTTTTCCTTCTGGCATAGACATTACTGAGTTGTGTAAATCCCTTCATTTTCTAGTTAACTTTCTAATGTCATTTGGACCATATGAACAGTCATACTATGAAGTCTCACATCTGGCCATGTTCCCTGTGTGGAAAACAATTCCCATCTGTAAATATTCATATTCAAAAGTGTTAGACAAAAAAAACATGCTAATAACTATAGAAGATGTGTGGTCAAGCCAATCTGCAAATTTTTTTTCTGACAAGCTCGTATTTTTGAAAAAATATACTTTGCACTTTGTAAATGCTATTGCTAATATATAATTACATATTTACAAGGTTACATAATCTTGTGGTGCCTGTGGTGGAGGAAGACAGCGGTGAAGTCAGTAAGAAGATCTTGCTGCTGCCCTTCAAAAATAATATTAGAAAAGCAATGTATAGTGATTCTACTCTCTACATCCACTCAGAATGAAAATATATTGGTTATGTGGCCTTCACCTTTAAAGACAAATTTTAAACATATGCCATAAACTACAAGATATTTACATTTTTGGTAAAATCTTATGGCCTGTATTTGATGCTTACTACTATTTTTTTTTTGGGGGGTGGTGGGGAGGGGGGTTAGTTGGTTACAGGACACTGACATCATTGGGCATCTGGTGGGTTGAATTTTTCAGCAGACTCTGGGTTGAATTCAATAAAGCCTTAGTTCCACTTTACTAGTGGTATGGACTAAAAGGTCACCTGTCGGATAAAAAAAAAACCCTATTACCAGTTCCAGCAGATTTTTACCAACACAGATTCAGGTAGTTCTTTATTGTTTCACTTTAAAAATCTGTTGCTATGGCTGTGACATTCTTCAAAAAGAATGTATGCCAGATCAGAGTTCGTCTTAATTACCACCAGTCTTCTATTCTGTAAACTGGTGGTAATTAAGACCAACTCTGATCTAGCATACAGAGAGATGCCATTGCTCAGAGTGGAACATGTATGTACTGAGGAGCAGCAATAAATGTGACAGCTTCCCATTCATTAGTTGCTAGGACACCGGGCCGTCTGTGCCTTGGCAACCAATGATGCATTCCCGGGTCCATTCAGCTGCTGGCCGGGAGATTCCCCAGGCCGGCAACTGACTGAGCACAAAGGGCCCGGGGATGTTGGCCGACATCAAGCAAAGGAGGGTAGAAAGGAGAGACAGGCCACTGAAGGGCTGTTCTGTGTTTATTACAGACTGGACATGATCACTTTAAGAAAATAACCGTATCCTGACATCTGATGCTATTGGCGATTTGTTATAATGTTTATACATTATTTTTTCTGGAGTTTTTTTTCTTACCTCACAGATTCGCTTCATGAAGCAGCTTAAAACTGTCTAGTTGGGTTTTATATGTCGACTAAAACAATGCAGATGTTCTAATAAACATACTATCTTTTGATCTGATTCCTGGTACTTTTTAATGTCGCTTTGCTTTTGAATCTTCAAAATTCTACAGCTTTGTCCAATATAAGGGTGTAGAGGCCTGGTATGTGAATTTTAACTTCAGCCTGATATTGCATGTTCAAAGTAATAATATAGAAGGTTCCAAAATTTAGGAGGGAGAAGTAATAAATAGTGGTGGGGTATTCCAAAGAAAATGCTTACCTTGAGTAAGTAAAATAATTTGGATGTTGGACTTCCAAAAAATGGCTGCTGCATTTGAAGAGTTCCATAGTAATGGAGGAAGCAAGTACATTCAGTGGTTGGCTTCCCTCTGTCCTTTAGCCTGAAAATGTGCACTTCCTTCCTCCAAAAGCTCCTCTGTGCAAGTCCCTGCAAAGATGACAAGGGGCAACAATGGTGGAATATACAGTGGCAGAGTTGTCAGCTGGCAGAAAGGTGACATGTCTGCAGTGTTGGGGTATAGTGTCAGGTAGGATGCAGGGGGGTTCAGAGTCTGTGGTAGTGGTGCTTGAAACAACACCAGTGTCTGCTAAATCTAAAGTTACCCATAGAATCTAGATGGTGGTTAGACAGGAGGGAACATTTTGACCGCTAAACATTCCCTACCATCACAAGCAACCACTGCAGGCATATATCTTGTAGGGGCTGATTTAAAATGTGTTTGCACGTTTTAAATCAGCCACTAGGATTTCCTAGTGGCAGTAATGCCATGCAAACGTCTAATTTCAACAGTGCGCATGCTTTTTCAGGGGAGGGGGGGAGGTGATGTTATGGCTAGCCTAGGGAGGAGTATAAAAAGTAAATCCAATTCAATTTTTCATTATCATTCTCTTGGTGTTTCTACTTCACCTATGCCTTTTTTTTGCAACATAAAATAAAAGTGTTTAGGGAGTGTAGGACTCCTTTTATGATTACTATTTCAGTTAGGTTAACCTGTTTTCACTTATAGAATAAGAACGCATAAGAAACTATTTGGGGATAACTCTCTAGCATCTGCCAAAAATGGAAATATTACTTTTTTTGGCTTTTTAAAATTATTTTATTTTAAGCTTTTTAAGCTTTTAATTGGTTGATAGCTGTGTAATTGGAAGCTAAATTTTAAAGCAGTAGGCTGTCAGCTGCAGCTTTAAATGAAACGCATAATAATATAGCATAGATGACGCTTTATATATTTTTGTGAGCGAGACACTGATGACAAGTTGCAATGGCTGCTCCCTTTACATTCTCCACATTCACCAGTAGCAAAAACAAGAACCCATAAAAGCTTTGGATTCACACAATGAGCATTTGATGTCTGTGCTCGAATAAGACTTCCTCATGCGGCTCTGCGAATTCCTGCAGCAGTGAAGTGTTTTCACAGATGTTTTCAAGCTTCTGTGGAAATGCATTAGATTACATTGAGAGCAATAAAAACTGGTCATTTTGTTAGCCAAATAAAACATAATACTAAAGTTTGGTATCTGGCAGCTCTTATTTAATCACATATCCCAGATCAATATTATTGAAGCTGTTAGGGCAAATTATAAAGCG